CTTCCAAGGAGTTTAAACCAATAACCAATAACCTTGAGATTCAAACCAACCTTGTGGTCTGGTACTTAACTATCCTACAGCATCACACCAGAACTCCATTTACAGGCACAGGGGTTAGAATTTACAACACATTATTTTTAAAGGGGGGTGGGGATGTGGTGTAATTTAATCCATAACAGCATCTGATCAAATTTCTCACCCATATTTCCAGTTTGAAGGAAATATGTGAGGAACAGGTACAAATTAAAGTATCATGAGACTATGAAGAAACTATGTGTACATTTTTTGTACTTTGCTTTACTGAACTTGGCAAATTCTGCATTTCTTAAATACTGAAGGTTTGTGGCAATTGTTATCTGTGCCATTTTTCCAATAGCATGTGCTCACTTTATCTTACAGTATTTCAATTGTTTTAATAATGCAACTGCACACTTTATACTGGAGTTCTGGTAGTGTAATGATTACAAGTTGGGCTGCTAACCTCAAGGTCAGCAGTTCCAAACAACCAGCAGTTCCACGGAGAAAGATTAAGGCTTTCAGCTTCCATAAAGATTTACAGCCTCAGAAACCCTATGCAGGGTCACTATGAGCCAGAAGCACTGGCTTTATATCCATTTGGGAATGGTTCATCTTTCATATGTTAGCCAGAATTAGTGTGGGTCTGTATCTTCCATAGCACACAAGCACCACCACTACACGCTTAATAACGTATGTTGCTGTCAAGCGCCGCCATCCACTCTGACTCATAGCGATCCCACACAGTTTCCAAGGAGCAGCTGGTGGGTTTGAACTACCAACCTGTGGCTCCCAGCCCAGTAATAGCCTATGTTGTTCTTAAGTGCCATTGAGTCAGTCCCGACTCATAGAAACCCCGTATATAATTTCCGAGGAGCAGCTAGTGAGCTTGAACTACTAACCTTGTGTTTAATATAAACCTTGCAGTCCAGCACATTAACCCACAGTGCCACACCAGGACTCCAGTAGTTGCCTATAATATAGGGCAAACATAACTTAAATGCACTGGAAAAACAAGAGTCCTGTGGCTCACTTTACTGTGGTGGTCTGGAACCAAACTCAAAGACTATGTTGTTAAATCCCATTGTGTTGGTTCTGACTCATAGTGACCCTATATAGGGCTGCCAAGGAGTGCCTAGTGAGCTTGAACCACTGGCCTTGTGGTTCAAAGTGACCTTGCAATCCAGCGCATTAACCCTCAGCACCACACCAGAAGTCTGGTGACTCTTACAGATCTGGTTAAAATGGAGATTTTGATTCAGTACATCTGAAGTGGAAATGCAAATGCTCAGCAGGGGATTGGGAACCTTAATGAACCTTGTTGTTGTTGTTGTTGTTGTTGTCAGGTGCCATCAAGTCGGAACCGACTCATAGGGACCGCATGTACAGCAGAACGAAACAATGTCCGATCCTGGGCCAACCCCACCACCGCTGCCACACTTGGTGCCATCAATGATGCCACCTGGCTGATCCATCTCATTGGGGGTCTTCCTCTTTTTCTCTGACCCTCCATCTTACCCAGCATGACATACTTCGCCAGCGACTGTTTCCTCCGGACAATATGTCCAAAGTACGAGAGACGAAGCTTAGCCATCCTGGCCTCCGAGGAGCACTCTGGCTGCACTTCTTCCAAAATACATCTATTGGTTCTTTTAGCAGTCCATGGCACTTTCAGTATTCTCCTCCAACACCACAACTCAAAGGAATCAATTCTTCTACGATCTTCCTTATTCACTGGCCAGCTTTCACATCCATATGAGGTTATTGAAAATACCATGGCTTGGGTCAGGCGCACCTTAGTCCTCAAGCTGACATCTCTGCTCTTCAACACTTTTAAAAGTTCCTGTGCAGCAGATTTGCCCAATGCAATACATCGTCTGATCTCTTGACTGCTGCTTCCGCCAATGTTGATAGATGATCCAAGAAGAATGAAGTCCTTGACAACCTCAATCTTTTCTCCATTGATAAGAATGTTGTTTATTGGTCCAGTGGTGAGGATTTTTGTTTTTCTGACATTGAGATGCAGCCCGGTCAGCATTTCTCAAGCTGGGGGAACTGAAGAAAAAATTCAAGCCTCGACTTTCGTTATTAAAAGATTCTCTGGGAATGAGCCTTAACTTGAATACCTCCTTAGCTACTATTCAACCCTTCCTAAAACCAGTCAGATAAATTATGTGCTTTCTTTCAAATGAGGCCTTAAAAATCCTAAGGGTGTTCAATTTTTATAGCGATTAAAGGCTGAGAACACTACTGAGAAATCTCATATAAAGAGATGTTTAACATGCTTAACATCAGTTTCCTATGCAGCCCCTGTCACCTCACCCTGGAGTGAAACAGGAATTCTCAGTTGCTTTTGTTGTCCAGGTTCATACAATCCAGTGAAGCAGGTGACGCTCACTGTGGCCCAGCCTGAACACAGTCATTCACATTGCCAATGGCTAACGATGGGGTAGGGGAGCAGCCCCGCCATCCACTTCCCATACCTATGGATGACTCTTCTTGCCTCTTGTGCCTGAGGAACAACTAAGTAAGGAGCAAGATCAAGAGTCAGAGAAGCCTGTGCTTTTCGTCAAGAATAAGCATTTACACCTCTTGGTCAGGAGACGAAAATGAGCCAAGTAAGAAACCATGCCAAATCCTGCTCGCATCAACAGAACCCTTACCAACAACCCTTCTTGATGGAGGTGAATCCAGAAGTGTGGGCTGCAAGATCTCCCTTCTGCTGGCCTGGCTTCTCCTGCTCCCAGATCCCTCTCAAACATTATAAGAACCAAGCAGTCCCTGATGCAAGAGCATTTTCTCCAGGTTGCCAGCTGCATCAGGTCCTCTCTCCATAGTCAAAACTTGCTTTGGGTCCTGACTGTGCCCCAATCACAAAGTGCCCCAAGCAGCAAGAGATAAGCCACCCAGGGGCCAGTGTGCAGAAGAATGACTGGAACTGTGTTTGTTCTAAAGTCTCCCCATCTGGTTTGCATTTTACCTGAATACATGAGCTTTGCATAATTATTTTTAAAGCAGTCCTACAGATATTTTTATCATGTGTTTGTCCAACATTGCCTAACTTTCCAAGTGAACAAAGGTAGGATACAAAAGCATCCACTGCACAGAAAGCATGTGTGTGCACACAAACAGGGCAGAAAGGAAAGCCTCAAAGCACCCAGGGTTCTTACAAAGTGGTGGAAATACAAGGATTTTACCTTTTCGCTACAATTTCCTGTTTTACACTTTAAGGGCTCATGAATTGCACATTTTTAATCAGAACCAGACTTAAAGGAAGAGGCCTTCTACAGAGACGACAAGCCCCACTGATATTCCATTTGGGATGTAAAAGAAAATAGATCCTGGCTGACCACCAACAGCTGTGTCAGCGGGGGCTGCATAGGCTGCCGGGACACACTGAGGAAAGAAACTGAAATCTCAGGACTTCCAAATGCTTCACAGAATACCCGAAAAAGTCTAAGTCTGACAGTAAACAAATAAAGAAATGTTTTTAATAAATGGGCAAAGCATGCAGGCTTCAGCTACACCACTTCTCAACGAGGTATTGGCAACATGAACAGCAGCATGGATGGAGAGTGCACGGCTTTGTCAATCGTTCCATTACCTGAGACAACTTTCATAAAGAGCAAATCTATTTCATCTAAATGATAGTAAGTGGAAAAAATAAATTGCCATGAATGAAAGTGTACTTTTCCTTCACCATTTAAAAATAATAATCTTAAAAAAAAAAAAAAATACGGAGGTATCTAACTTTACTCCAAGTTGCACACAAAGACTAGATCACTATGCTGTGATAGTTCGTGTCAAAGTATGCTATAAGAATCTTTTGGCCATCTGACCAAACACTGGGGCTTTTTCATTATAAAGTTACTATTATCCTCTTTGACAGACAAATGACAGCCGTCCCATAAAACTTTACATCTTCAAATATTTGTATTAAGCTCTATCAGTTGTCATGTGAGAGCTACAATGTCTTCTCATTCTAGCAACTATCAAGGAAGAAATGGGCATTATGGAATTAACATGGAAACTGGAGGTGACCACATTAAAGAGACCAAGGAAAGAGCCAGACAGAGAAGGGAGCCTAGCTGCATTGACTCAACTGCACATCTAAGATAAGTTTAGCTTATCTTCACAGAACTCCAGATTTGGAGAACTGAAGGTTAGATTTTAAAGATATCCCAATTTCTAAGGTTGCTCTAGCTGTTTCTAGAATCTGAGAAAGATGGTGCTGAACCTTTTTCATGATTAGATAAAAGTTAAAAGGGATCATGAGTGCATAAAGTAGTTTCAGATGAAAGTAATTTAAAGTAAGAGGGATTTAGATCATTGTAGTCTATGGCTATTTAAAATTAAGTCTGTCCATGCATGCACACACACACAGACACACTCTTTTTGAGTTAATTTCTCCTCTTTCCCATCTAAATGCTGCTCAGTAAATCCTCATGCGGCCATTTCAAGAACTATTTTTTGCTATTAAATTTTGCCAACAATCTGCTCAGCATTCTAGCAGATGTTTCTGTTTTCAAACCTCTGGGAACTTCACTGGATCTGTTTTCTTTCCCCGTGTTAAAAATAAAAGAAATGGCACAAATGTGGCCTAATGCCCTAGAGATACTTTCCCGGCCCCCTGCCCCTCCATCTCCCTATATTCACGTGACCTTTATGGTCCCCACTCAACTCTTTTCTTTTCCATTAGAGAAGATGTTTCTAATTATGGTCCATTATGTTGCCAAGGGTGACATCACTCAGATGTGTCTTTTAAAAGGAAACGCTACTGATTCTTAGTTACTTGGGGACCATCTGCCAACGATTTAAGTCAACTAGTCTCTTGGACTTTATGAACTACAGTATCACAGGAGGGCAATTTGTTCTAATCTGCTTTTCCAAACAGCACAACGTTCTTATGATGTATGTGGGGTGGGGTAGGGTGGGGGGCACTTTATCTAACCATTTATTGAGAAACACGTGTTACACAACCTTACCTCAGTAACATCCATAACTTTGATGGCTGCCAGCTGACCGGTTTTAACATGTCGACCCTGAAAAACAGAGAAGAGAAAAATAAATTGACACCAAAGTTTTGCACAGTCATCAACACAACACAATTGGTTAAGTTTCCAACAAATCGTGTCTCTTCTACACTTTGTTCATATTAACAAAAAGGGATGATGAAACTGTCTCATATTCTCCAATAGAATAATGTGTACCACATTTAATAAACAAGATAATTTTAAGAACAAACGAGTTTTGATTAAGCATGAATTCCCTCTTTCATTCATGGGTCTATAATTTACATGTCATCTCTCAATCTAAGCAACTGAAAGGCTTTTTTTCAATGTATCAGATTGGCCACTCTTTCTTTCTTAACATTCTACCGGGGGTGGGGATGGGACGGAGGTGGTCTCCTTCCCCAGAAAAGAAAAAATGTCCCTTAGATATTTATTCTCATTGTCAAAAATGAATAGCAGTGTCCCCTCAGTGTACTCTTATTTTCCTTTCTTGATTTCACAGGAGTTACATGGAAAGCCTTCTATGAAGCTTTCTTGCAGTCTTAATGTAGGAAGATTCAAGAATAACAATTTAGAAAAAAAGAGGGAAAGAACGGAGGGAGTAATAGCTACATTATCACTCCTCACATTAAAACCCATTTATATCACTAGATATTTCACACAAACGTGCTATCTTCTTTCACCCAGATGAGGAATATTGGATTTCATTACTGTCAGCCTCACTCTCTGTAATGCCCTGCTGGTCATTTCTCAGACCAGTAACAAAGTCACCCAAGCATGATGGACACGTAAGGACTTAATGGGAAATAGCTCTTCTGCTGTCTATGCAAAACAGAAAGGTCATCCCTGTATTTTCCAAGAATCTGCTTACAGTCTTATGAGGAAAAGTGTTGTGAACTTTAAAACATCAAACCTGCGAAAAGCTGTATCTTTTCTCTAGAGCTACTGCAGGAATTCAAGTTACAACTTAACTAAAGTAGCTACACGAAAGTATTATAATCTCATATCAATCATTTGTGGTGACAATGGGATTTGCTGTTGTTAAGTGATGTTGAGCTGGTTTGAATCCATAGCAACCCTGTATAGGGTTTCCGAGGAGCGGCTGGTAAGCTTGAACCACCAACCTTGCAGTTCAAATGGCTTTGCAGTCTGGTACATTAACCCACAGTGCCACACCAGCATTTTACCAGCAGGTACTGTGTAACAACTTGCTGTTGTTGCTAAGTCAGTTTTGGTTCACACAGACCCTGTATAAGGTTTCCAAGGAGCTGCTGGTAGGTCTGCACCGGTGACCAATGCTCAGCCTACAGCACCAGACCAGGGCTCCTGTATGACAACTTACTATCCAGCAAATCAGGGCAAATAAGAGCTGCAGCAGGCTAAGAGCCTCCTGGACACACTCTCACCTTCACTGCTTCCAATGTGGACTTCCTAGTCTTCAAAAGTAATGCCACCCAAGTGTGGGCATCATCTCCAACATCACACATCTGAAGCACAGAGTGAGGTCGGGCTGTCCCACACTAATCCATGGACCAAGGAACACTTCTGCCTTCCTGCTCTTTCAGCTATTTCCCAGCTACCATTCCACAAGTAGGCTTCAAGAACCCGAGGTTTCAATGTTCTGCCAGCATGTCTAGCCTCAACTGACCTGAAGTATTCTACCTGATTACCACACCTTAGCTAACATCCTCACATAACTAGAGAAGAAACGGGCATTATCTCTGTACTCACAGATGGGTAACCTATAATCCTGAGAGTGGAAGGGGAAAGTGCTCCATTTCTACACAGCACACAAACGTATCTACAAAGATATTTGACATTTATAGAAGAGATAAGCAGTTAGACACTACTATGGTCATCTTACTGACATTTTGTTTACAACTATGGTTCTATCCAAGATTCATTATATTTTAATCATGACTGTGAATTACTCATTTAAAACTTCTGGCTCTGTATGGTACAGGCTCTGTAGCCTCAGCCTTTTGCTTTGTTTGAAATTTTGCTATTCACATTTCTGTGCTGTGCGTTAACAGAAGGGAAATCTTGATAGCCTTCCCATCTTGGGTCTGGGCAGGATTCGAAAGCTACTACAATGCTTGTTCAAGGCACAGGCTTTGGTGTCCATACCTCACTGTCCTGGGTAGTCACAGCCTCACTATGCCTCGCTCTCTTGGTGTACAAAAGGGACAGATAATGATGCCTACTTCATAGGATTGTATGAAGAACAGTGAATCACGACCACATGGGCACTCTAGCTGAGCCCTGCTAACAAAATAAGGCTATACTTTGCTTTCTTTCATTACAGGAAATTAATTAGAGAGAGCTATAGCGGTTCGAAACTACCAGCCGCTCCGCGGGAGAAAGATGAGGCTTTCTACTCCCGTAAGGATTTACACCCTCGGAAACCCTGTACAGGGTCGCTATGGGTCGGAACCGACTCGACGGCACTTAACAACAACAACAACATAGCTTCATAAGATATGCATTGGACTGCGAACCACAAGGTTGGCGGTTCAAGCCCACCAGCCACTGCATGGGGGAAACATAAGGCTTTCCACTCCCACAGAGATGTACGGCCTAGAAAAACCCATAGAGCAGGTTCGCTGAGTCAGAACCTGCTCAAAAGCACTTACCAGCAGCAACAACAACACTTTGCTTTCTTTCATTACAGAAAAGTTATAAGGAGGTTATCAAGCAGCTCCTGTAGCTATGACTACCACCACATCATCATGAAGCCAAAGTACGCTTTCCCTGAATTCATAAAGAAACCAGGAAACTTGAGAGGATAAGGTGGTCGGTTCTGACTCATAGTGATCCTGTACAGGGTATCCTAGCTGTCAATCTTTACAGGCTTAGAAAGCATCATTTTTAATCCTGCGGAGCGGCTGGTAGATTCAAATTACCGACCTTGTGGTTAGCAGCCCTGCTTGTAATCCACTATGTTACCAGGGCTCCTTGAAGAGGAGATATGTATTCAGTAATTCTCCCTACACTGCCACATAAAGGGCACAAGGATCATCTCCACAGCACCTGTTAGGTTCTTAAATTTGAACATACATACCTGCCTACCCTTCCTGCAATGGGTTTCCTTCCAAATTACAGACATCGAATGATATGAGAAAATGTCATGAGAGTTGCCCTGACTTTGCCTCTTTCCAAGAAGGAAAGTATGCTGCATTCTGGGAATGTGTCATTTAAGATCCGGAAGGGGAGGGTGGTGGTAAAGGAGTTTTCTGAGTATCTGATATTGTATCATTTATGATCCCTATGAATCAAGAAAAACTAAGAGTCTGGGGGGTGGGTGGCCAGACTTCTCCAGCTGTTTACACAGCAAAGTCTTCATGAAAGAATAAAACCCAAAAACTTAGCGTAAAAAGCAACCAGAAAACAGCCTGTGCTTCCCTCTACACCTCAACACCAGACCATATATGTACTATGTACAAGGGAGCTTCAAAAAGTTCATGAGAAAGAAAAAAAAAAAAGTTCATGGGAAAACTCTATTTTCTTTTACTTTCACTTTTCCATGAACTTTTTGAAGTCACCCTCATATCCTCAAGACTTAGCAGTTTGACAGTGGCAAACAAGCTACAACTTGTGGCTTCATTCAGAGCTTGCTTTACACAGAGAATATGAGTTTTCCCCTAAGGGGTTACAGACTCAGGCCTAACAATCAATTATTCTGGACAGAAGAGAAACTATGAAACTGTATCAGTCTTCATTAACACATACCAGTTCCCCAAAGTTAGTTCCATTATAAATTTACATCAGAAAATAGCCTAAGAAGTCTGCCTCCCTCTCTCTAGCAACAAGACTCTCAGTCCTCCTCTATTATAAATCACTCTATTTCCTTGAGAGCTGTTTCTAAGCTGACTTTACTGCTTTCTGCGTTAGAAATGGAGGCCTGGTATGGAGCTGCAGGATAATGCACTAGACCTCAAGGGAGGCGGTTCAAATTCACCAGCACCCCTTGGGAACCCTATACACAGGGTCCCTATGAGTGGGAACCGACCAGACGGCAAGTTTGGAAATAAAAGGCACTGACTTGTGTGCTCTGCCTTCAAGTGAGCTTCCTCTTTTCTGTTGCCTCCCCCCTCCTGCCTTTCAAGTCCCATGCTAATTCCTGCCTCTTTTCTCTTACTTACTTTGCAACTATCTCAAACTTTACTCGGTTTAGGCTCATTTCTAGTTTTCAAAAGGCATGACCAGTATGGGAGGAGACATGGGCAAGGGAATATTAAAAGTAATGTGCTTCCCTAATTATTTAAAAACTTAAAAAAAAAAAAAATGCAATCTTCTATAGATTTCACATTAAAAGAAAAATCTATTTGCTGAGATGGACCATCTTTTAGGTAAAGTAACCAAAATGACCAGCAAAGTTATTCAAGGTGAAAAACTACTGTTCAAAGTGAATGTACTATATTTCAAGATTTAACTATGGAACTAAAAGCAGGCTATATCAAGAGTTATAAAATGGGTAAAGATTCCTGGTTTCCTCAGCACTATCCAACAGAGAATAACAATGACTGCCACCCACAGGTGGGCTACCAGTTTAGCTTGTTGCCCCCACTCCCTGAGGGTGCACCTCTACCCACATGAGCCATAAATCTGGCCTGACATCATCTTGGCTCTCCTTCATTCTGCTTACAGAACAGATGAAGAGGAAACGCACATGATCAAAACCCGTTTGCATTGTGCTAGGGACACAGGATACAGGAAAAGGCCGTCAATGAATTGCAAGGCTATATACATCTATTACAATGTCCATATTCTACCCTAGATAACACTTCTTATGGGACCCTGGTGGTGTAAACAGTGATGATATTCGGTTACTACGCAAGAGTTTGAAGGTTCATGCCCATACAGAGATACCTAAGGGGGAAATGTCTGGCTGACCTACTTCAAAAATATCAGCTAATGAAAACTGTGGCGTTCTAACTTGACACACGGGATTTCATGAGTAGGAATTGGCCTGAGAGCAACAGGCTTAACGTTTCTTAAATGCTGCTCCCTGCAGTCTGCTGATTATAGAT